GTATCAACAATTATATAAACTCGAAAATCCCTCCCTTTTTTTCGAGATCGGAAATAAATAACACGCAGAATAGTGAAAAATAATTAAGTTAGTCATTTCTAGAGGGAAATTCTCATATTAAGGGTTCTGAAAAAAACGTGCTGACTAACTTCACTCGCAAACCCAAATTTGCATATAATTGTCAGGAATGCGTTCGGGGCATTTTAATTAATAGCGTAATTATTTGGCCTAAAGAATTAAAATTGATAGGTTACTGTAGCTTTTTGCGGGATTTTTTTTCCTCTTTGTACGTATTTATTCAAGAAATATATTTCCACGCAAAAACAAACCCGATTATCTGCCAGGAAAACGTTCGTTGATTGTGTAGCACGGAATAAGCGGCGCTAATTGCGTGAAAACGATAATTGTCAGAAGCTGAGCTACTTTAAAAAGAAAAGCAACAACAAAGACGGATCGCGCTAATGATTTTGCTGTTAGCAAATGGGTTAGGGTTCAGTTAACCTGAATGGCACGCTCAAAAGTTGAGTGATGATAGATTGATAAAATTGATCACTAACAATTTCTTCGACAAGAAATTAACAGTCTGTCAATTTCATAGGAACTTAAATAAATCGCCATACTCGATAAACACTTGAAATGGTTACGCAGTCTTCGAAATTTTGTCAACGTGCTATGAAAAACAATTAGAAACAAGATTAGCTACAAAAACAAATATATATTGTTTCAGTGGCATTCGTGCATGGTAACCACTATCAATTTGACTATCAGAAGAACGAGAAAATAATAAACTAACAGTAATTCCTATAATTAGCAGATAATTAAGTGAGAAAAAGAAACTTAACAGATCTTTCATGAGGTAGTGTCTTCATTAGTGGTGAAAAAGCCTCATTTTATAAAAAAAAAAATCGGTTCATCTTGTTTATAAATTATTTAGAAATATCGGCCCATCCGGCTGTTTTGAACAAAGGTTGATTGGAGAAATACAAAAACGTTCTTGAAGGACCCTGAAGCGTTCCTAAAATGTTTCCTGTCTCACATAAAGTTGAAAATAATTGACTTCACCGACCCACTGCAAAACAAATTATCCTAAAAGAGCTAAAAAAAAAAGTGTCGAAAAATAGCGGTAACATTCCTACGATCAAAAAGGGAAGGGATTTTGAAATGAGTTAACTTAAATACCATTATATTTAATGGATGGCTGATAAAATCTGTCAAGTACCATCTATATCATTAATTTGACGGACCACTGCATTATTCCGAGTGTATTATGGAAATGCATGAAGCTGAGAAGTCACGGTACCATGCTCTCTCGAGGTTTTGATGAGGGGAAGCAAAAAAGAGGGCCGGGGAGGGGGAGGAAGAGAGAGGGGTAATTTTGGAATCTTTTTCTAAACAGCAAACTTAGAATGTTGCTGATCGGAATGAATCATTTACGTTTTATAGAGGAGGGGAAAGGGGGGCAAAAAGTGTGAATTTTTTTTCTTGTCATATATATGCAGAAGCTCCCATGAAGAAACAACTTCGGGGTGATGGAAAGGTAAATGTAACTGGAGAAGGCTGCTGCTGTTTTCGGAAATGCACAAATCTGACAAAGTCCATCTGGAAGTTTAAGTTGTAATCATAAAACGAGATTTTCTCAGAGTGGTCTTAAGCTCTCTTTTTAACTTTTTTAACTTAGCTTCCATTGTACCAGATTACAAATATGCTTGGAGCAAGTAGTTTACTTCCTGAGTGAAATTTGGACCCGACTGAGCTGCTACTACAACATTTTCTTCAGCTGACGGTGAATAAATTCACCTCTCGATGAAAATGTGTCTGTTTAGAATAAATCGTTATTGCGAATCATTATCCGTATAAGGCCTCATTAGGTGTCCCAAGTTAAAGATTTCACCGAAAAACACTTAATAATGTTAATTATTTATTATATGAAGACTCCATTATTCGGATATGAATTCAAACGAAGTACGTATACGCACCCGACAACGCTTTCGTTCAATCCTGGACATGGATCCTTTTTCTTCCACCACAAAGGACAATGGTGTTTTAGTGATGCAACTGTCACCTTGGAATATCCTTTAGCAGCTCTCAACTGCTGATAAACGGCACACTGCATGAAAACTGAACAGTTTGCCTCGTCCTCAGAAACAATATCTGATGAAAACTGCCTTGAATTCCATGTTAAGTGGACTTGAACAAACACGGGCGCTTCAGATAAAATCCCTTAATAGAATTACTACTCTTCCTACGAAAAGTATACAATTTCTTAATGTTTAATCTTACAAAGAATCAGTACATTTTTGAGATACAATTGGCCCAAACCAATTTCCTCATTGACATTGTCAATAAAGATTGTCATTGTTAGAAGTTTTTTTTTTTGGTCTGAAAGACCATAGGTTGGCCGAGGCCACCTGGATGTTGTGTGAACTCTCTAGATAAACATACGTGTTCTTGGGGCAAACTCTCCAAATACGTTTAAAAAATACACAATTGTTGATGCAATTTTCAACTGCAAGACTTCTACACTGAGAAAGGGGGCCAGTTACAAATCATACCAAACAACCTCATGTAAAGTTGATGTTCCCCTCCAACTGAATAAACAAACGTGTTTCCAAGAGAGCACAAGAATACCCGCCTCATATTTGCCGAGACGCAAACCAATAGAAAAACATGGCTAAAAGCAAAGTTTTTGCTCTTCACTTGGGTTTAAGTATCACCTACATTTTGATAAAGACAAAAAATCTGTCTGAGAGCTGAAAAAAAATTAACAGGATCATGAGCGAAAAAGAGGCATGGAACTGGAAATTTTCAAGGGGATTACCCATTCGTATGACACACAAGAGATGTTTGCCATGAAAAGTTCACTCAAAAACTTAAACTGTGGTTTTTCGAATCATGAAACTAGAAATTTTCAAGGAGATTACCCATTCGTATGACCCACAAGAGATGTTTGCTATGAAAAGTTCACTCAAAAACTTAACCTATGGTTTTCCGAATCTTACAGCCAAAAACATTTTGGAAAAACTGACCAATGATATTGCACAACACCAGACTTATACCACTCGACTCACAAACAAC